TGCATTGTGATGTTTACTTAATATAGTTACATCACCATGACTCAGCATAGAAACATGAGAGCCGATCTTGTGAAAACAACAGTAGAATGCCAATTCCTGCTTTTTTTGCATAAATTTGTTTAATAATTAACCTATTTTATGTCCATCCAGTTCTTTTTACAGCAGTTTTTTAATGCATCGTTTAAATTCTAAAGAACAGTCATATACACTATGACTTTTCTGTTCTTTAGTAATACTTGCATCCTGCAAAGCTGGATGTTGTGATATGGAACGATTCAATAATAAAAGCACAGATTTATAACCCACATGATGTTTGTTACATTTTGTTTTTGACAGAGTTTCTTTGTTCTTAAGCTGTGAACAATAGAATATTCGATTGAAAATGTGGGCTTTACTTTGCATGAAGATGCAGTCATAAAGAAAACATCTACATTTCTCTGCCTTGTAACTGCTATTAGAATATATTCTAACTTCTGACAATAAGGTTTTATTTTCAAATAGATGACAAAAATGTATTTTTATACATCTTCCACTTCTTTACAGAATTGGCATTAGTATTAGGAGCTTTAGGAGAAATCCACTGTATGTGGAGGAAGATGCATGGTTTAGAAACATGAAATATAAATAACTAAAATGTTGTTTGAAATATATACAATTCTTTCTACAAAATAAGCACATTTTGTCTTGCTACTGTGACAGAATTAGATCTAAAGGAAATGCAATTATGAATTCCTGCAGAATTTCACGTTCCAAGAATCACACTGCTATATTTTTCAGGAGTAATGAGAGAAATTATATGAAGTCACACCAAGTAGCTCAGACCATATCATGTAGCTATTGTCAAAGGAGGCCCAGGAGGACCCACCATCTGGTGGAGGATCGATTGATTCACAGGTTTCTTCCCAGAAATCCCTTCACCTATGACAGCAGGGAAACACAACCTGACGCAAGTGCTTTATTTTACAATGAATAGGGCTATTGAAACGTGAAAGAATATCGATTAGTTTATTTAACAACTGCTTGGATCTTTAGATTTGAGGAAAAAGACCAATGTGAAATTTATCAAGTTAAACTGGAATTTAAAAAAAAACAACCAATTATTTGAATAAGCTCTGATAATCTGACATTCATATCACACTTCTCTGAACAGGTTCACATATCTCCCTAAGCCAAAAATAGCAAAAATACTTTATTATTTATATCTGAACTAAGGTTTTGTCTAAATTTATTCCAGGTGCAGGATTTTCTAGTTGTAGCTGAGAGAGTAATCATATATTACAGTATAGATATTTGTTGTAACTAGGAAAAAAAACAGAAAGCAGAGTTTCAGACTTCAGATATTCTTTCGCTAGATTTTACTTCTGGTCCTTAACACTTGTCCTTTGTTATTCCCCCATGTTCTGTTTTCTTTTCTCCTGAAAATCAATGGATTTTATATATTTGACACAATGAAAGAGAAAATTCAGAATATACAACTTCTTTCATTTTGCTGAGCGTTTCTTTTGATTTCAGTGTTACCTTCTGCCTGCCTTGCTTCTTTTAAGCAGGCAAAAATGAAGAGACATAAATTCTTATCCTTCAGCAATCTAATCAGCTGTAATTGTCACACAGATTAAATACAGTTTAAAGCAAATCAATAAATGTATCATCTTTGTCAATAAATTCATTTTCATTTTATACCCTTTGCACTTTTCTAAGCAAACCAAATTATGCACAGAGTAAAACCTCAATTTTACAGCCTAACTGGGGAGAAGAAATATCCACTAGACTAGAGCCATATGTCCATTTAATACAATTGATGTAATTTACATTGTATGTATATTTACATTATGATGCAAATAAGTAATTACGCAGATAATATAAATTACCAGTTATCTGTACTACTTTGGAAATAATGGACTTTATCCTTTATTCAGAGTTTGTTCAAGCTAATATTTTATCTAGAGGTATGTGTCTGACTGTCCATCTGTCCATTCATCCATCCAAAACCCTCAGCAAAGAGGCCTTCACCTAGTGATGATTTGGGCTGATGTTATTAAGAATTTCTTGTAAAATGTATGTTATGTATAGTATGTGTAAGTGCACGTGTGTAAAATGTACAAAGTTTCGCTCTGCATATATATTCTTTTAAAAAACCAAACTGGAAAAGTTGTTTTCCTTTTAACAAATATGGGCATTACTTATTCATAAGTAAATTTTAATATGGTTGAATGTACAGAATCCAATCTGGGTCGGTTACCGGAACCAGAGGTTTTGCCTTCTGAGCTTTTGGACTTCTGCTGGAGCCCCTCTTCAGGGAAATGTTCGACCCAGATTGGATCCTGCAACATTATCCTGGGACATGTATATTTGCCTTCATTCATGGTTGAATATGGTTTATGACATTTTAATTTAGCCCATTGTTTTCAGTCAGCCAGGGTAATTTGTAAAGCCATGTTCATGACTTGTTTACAGTACAATGTGTTATGGGTTACCTGCCAGGTGTATATTATTCAATGAACCTTGGCTAAGGAAACATGACTGAGTGCTGTCCATTTCACAAATCAACAGCATAAAGCACTAGGTTGGAAACAATACTTTGTTAATGGAGTGGACATATTAACCTAAGATAGATCCAAAGAAAGGAAGACAGTGGAAGAATGACAGTGATTTATGTTACAACCTGATGCACCTCCCATATGAAAAATTATAATAAAGGGTAAAGTTACACACTCACCAAACTTATGCAACAGGTAGACCTTGCAAAGTTCAGCAACAATGATTTTATCATCCTGGGTTGTCATAGAGGATTTAGAAAACCAGGACAGCATACCCTTACTTTGGAGTATTCAGTTTATTCTCTTTAGACAAAATATATCAGTGAAGAACAGTCCTTTATTGTCTTGCTGCTAATGGCGTCATCACAAGATATCGAATGCATGATGTTCACCTTTTTACTCTTGGTTACTAATATGTGTCCTTTCTCAATGTTTGTTTTGGCATTTGGATCAGCAGTCCAACAATTGCTAGATCTAATAGTAACTTCCCTTGGTTTGCTGAAGCAAATATTACACTGCACTTCTTTTACATTTAATCTAAACAGCATACTTTTATTTTATTTACTTGTATTTCCTATTTCTAAACTGCCCATCTTTTTTTATCTGACATAAGCAACTTTATGTTTGGTTTCCCCCCCCCCACAAATATAACTTTTGTCCCTCCCCCCTTCTTTCTCTCTTATACATACATGGTGTTTTTGGCTTTTTGAGTGTTGGGTAATGCCAGTGTCTGCTATACTGGCAGCAGACTTTTTAATTGCACTGCCAGCCAAAAAGGGAAATAAAAAAAGTTTTGGCAGCTTGTCTCGGGGTCCAACTATTTGTTTTGCTTCATACACTTCCTTCCTACCCAGACCATTCTGACTCACTACCATGCAGACTCCTTGGAGGCTAGTTAAATCAGTCATGCAGCTGAATGAATTTTTACTGCCTCCAAATTAGGACTATAACATCTGCACTGCAGAAATTGAGACAACCATTAATGGCAGTAAAAGATAAAAAAAAAATCTGTTACTCTCTAATGGCCATCCAGATGTTGGCAACCCAGGTATGATAGCCTTGCTCCAAGGCCCATCACATGAACTGTCAGAAAAGTAGATCAAGGTTAGAGTAGGCAAAATAGGTGGACAAAAGTGTGAATAGAGTGCAAAGTTTTTAAAATTCAGATGATCTGGCAAAATTCCAGGTATCTGGCCATCCTATTCACTGAACTGTCATCGTATATTTTTGTTTTATATATGACAAGATGTTTGATTACACATTTTACTATATACCACCCAGAATCCCTCTGCAAAGAAGATGGGTAGTTCTTAAATATGATAGATAGGTAGACAGACATACAAACAACCTGGGAGCAAATTCTGTTAAGGCTTAGTGGGATTCTGTCTGCCATCATTTGGTACTGCTGTCTGCCTTGAGTATAGAACAAAAACTGACGTAACTTAAATTCAGTGGTTGATTTCTATTGGTAACTTGCTATTTGAACATCCAAACAGTGGAGGTTTCTAGTTACATACACAAACTGAGTTTCTAATTACAGCTGTGCATGGTGCCTGAAGGGATAACACAGTAGTGTGTTCATTGTTTGAGCTTTCCCTTATTGTCTCCGTAGGGCTAGGCAAAACTTAAAACCAACTTGGGAAAAAGGCTTCGGAATGTGCAGGATTACAAGTGCAACATCTGTTTCTGAATGAGCCATTTCTGAAGCTTTCCCTGCAACCCTGGAAACAGAAGAGGTGGGGCAGGATGAAAGCACATGAATGCATGTGTGGAAGAATCCCCTTATTATGCATGTGTAAAGAGTTCCTTGGTCCATGACTGATTGACTGACTTGACAGACTTTCAGTTCAGAGAACCATACCTATGACTGCCTATTAATATTTTCTTTCTCTTGTACCTTAATGTTTAGTTTTCATAGTGTACACTATAAGAAATCTATCTTCTAAATATTTAACATTGATTAGAAGTCAAGAAATCTAAATTTTTAACATTAATCTAGAATTTTTCACTTTCCGTTTTATTTTCACAAAGAAAACCTCCTTTTAGCATTGATTAATAAAGTGTCATAATCGGCATATCTCAAATTTGTAAGTATTTCACGCTCCAATTCGGATTCCAGCTCTCATTCCTCCCATTCCTGAAGTTTTATACAGTTACTGAGCTGTGCATGCTTCATCCGAAGAAAAACTACGTTTCCCATAAGGTCTTGCTTGATTGTAGGTCTTAAAGAAGCGCTGCAGCAAACCGGATATACCTCACACACTAATGCCTGATTAGAGAAATGAATGGATTCTTCTGCTTGCCAAAATACTTCAGTATGGGTTGATAAGAAGCCTAGTTCCCTTTTCTGCCTTGGCGGAGTGGAGGAATTAATCTCAGCGAGGCTCGATTTAACAAAAATTAAATGTGGCGATCAGGGATCGGATTAGACACCCCAAGAGCGGTGGGAGGGTGGATGGTTGGGGTCCTGACAGGTGCGGAGACCGAACTGGAGCCAGGGAGTAACGGAGAATCTCTGTTGAGCGCGCAACAGCCGTTACGCGTGTCGGTTGCCGAGATCGAGTCTGACAGAAGCGGACTTGCTGTCTCGGGATCAGCGCGGACAAGATGAGCAGCAAAGAAGGTGGCGGTGGGACAAAGGGAGGGCAGAGGCCCTCGCCCGAGGAGCAAAATGCGAGGGCGCGGGGGAAGGCCAGTGGCCCCTTTGCTCACCGGCTGCCTTTCCCAGGCTCTTTATTTAACCGTGGTTCTTCATTTCATGGCTTCGTTTCAAATAATAGAGTAACAGAGTTGGAAGGGAGACCTTTTAGTCCAACCCCAGCGCAAGCAGGAGTCGCTATAACCAGGGGTAGGCAACCTTGGCTCTTTTATGACTCGTGGACTTCAACTCCCAGAATTCCTGAGCCAGCCATGCTGGCTCAGGAATTCTGGGAGTTGTAGTCCACGAGTCATAAAAGAGCCAAGGTTGCCTATCCCTGCCCTATTCCGTTCCGAATAAATGGCCGTCCAATCTCTTCTTAAAAACCTCCAATGGGGGAGCACCCACAACTTCTGGAGGCAAGTCGTTCCACTGGTTAATTGTTCTCACAGTCGGGAAGTTTCTCTTTAGTTCTAGGTTGGATCTTTGATAAGTTTCCGTCCTGCCCTCAGATTAAGGAGAACAGGTTATCCCTCTCTTGTTAATGACAGCCCCTCAAATATTGGGAAACTGCGATCGTTGTCCATTAGGACTCCTAAATTGCAGTTACTGTTGTTGAGCTAAATGCCACCTATGCTATACCTCTGCGGTTAACTTTTCTTGCCTAAGTGTAAAACATTACTTTTCTAGCCACTGAATTGCATTATGTTGGATGGAGCCAAGTGTTCAAGTCTGTCTTTGTGGATCTTGAGCCTATCTTCTAAAGCACGGGTGTCGAACTCGCAATGTTACGTGATGTGTTGTGACATATCGTGACTTTTTCCCCATTGCTGACAATGGGGTCGGTGTGGTTTTGGCGTGATGCATCTTGCCCACAGGCTGGCAGTTCGACACCTCTGTTCTAAAGTGTTGGCTATTCCCCCTAGCTTGGTGTTGTCTGCAAATTTGATGAGTTCCCCTTTTATCCCCTCATCTAACACTGACAGCAGTGTTCCAATATCTAAGGGATTGCCATAAAGAAGAGGGGGTCAACCTATTCTCCAAAGTACCTGAAGGCAGGACAAAAAGCAATGGAGGGAAACTAATCAAGGAGAGAAGCAACCTAGAATTAAGGAGAAATTTTCTGACAGTTAGAACAAATAATCAGTGGAATAAGTTGTGGGTGCTCCAACAATGGAAGTTTTTAAGAAGAGATTGGACAACCATTTGTCCGAAATAGTATAGGGTTTCCTGCTTGAGCAGGGGGTTGGACTAGAAGGAGCTCCAAGGGCCCTTCCAACTCTGTTATTCTGTTATGTTGAAGAGTACTGGGCCTAAGACAGAACCTTGTGATACCCCACTGCATGCTTCCTTCCATATATATGTAGTTCCATTAAGGACTACATGTTGAGGGCAGTTTGCCAGCCAGTTATGAATCCATCTGATGGTGATGCTGTCTATACCACATTTCATATCTTACCAAGAAGTAGGTTATGGTCTACTTTATCAAATGCCTTACTAGAGTCCAAGTATATGATGTCCACAGCATTTTGCTGATCCACTATTGTAGCCACTTTGTCAAAAACTGCAATATGTTTTGTTTGGCAAAGTCTGTTTTTGACAAACCCATGTTGGCGTCTAATAATAGATTTGCTTTCTTCTAGGTGTTTGCAGATCTGTTGTTTGATTACCTATGTTATATGCTTGTATTCGGCCTTAGTTATGTGTTCCGCTTTCCATTTTTTATACTTGTCATTTTTGTCTTTCAGTTTAACATCGCTGCATTTTCTTGCCTTCTGTAATCCTATTCTTGTTCTTCCTAATTTTTGTTCCTTGTATTTAATCCCCAGATGGAATCTAGGGATCAGTAACACAAAAAAAAGCTTGTTGATATTAAAATGAACATAACCAAATTTCCAAGGGTTTTTTTTTGACAGGAAGCTCTTGTGCCTGTAACAAGTATGATGAAGCACTTCATATAATGGAAGAGGCAGAAACCCACCATCTGAAATATCCTATTTAAACCAGGAGTTCACATATCAGAACATAGCATTGTTTTTGTTGCTTCTTATTTACACATGAAGCATAGGGCAAGACTGGGCAATGTGTACTTCCTGAGAAAGCAGATTTTAACAATTCTGTTTTAATGGCCATTTCACTTAGAACGTATAGAAGTAATATCTGGAGAGAAGCACACATTGTCCATGAAAATAGGGAAACATGAAATGCAATTAATATTACATTACTTTTATGCCTGTTCAATCAAATGAATTTAATAAATTTAAAAACTGTTAGCTGACCCTTGAAATAACCAAAATCAGCTGACTCTGTATGTTGCCTCATTCTTTTGAATGATAAGCTATATCTGTTATATATGAAGTGCCATTGCCTTGTTTGACAGTTAGCTCTCGTCTTAAAATACCATGAAATCAAAGTTTCCAGATCAGTAGACTGAATCCAGTTTTCTATACAAAACGGTGAATGGAATTGTGGACAGTTTTCTAGTTTCTCAAATGCCCATGATATCAAGTATACAATTTTCAGCTATGAAAAGTTGTGAACATTTTTTGAGAACTATATTATAATTTGATAACCCTTTTTTCAATCTTAACACAAACAGGTGGCTTCAGAAAAAGGAAACATGACAATTTTCCACATGGTCATAAGGAAGAAAAAGATAGCATTAACTTTTCTTCATCTATAATGTCATCCTTCAAGAGTAAGTAATTTTAGAGACCTGAATTGTGGTTCATATAGTTGTATATGAAGTAATGATATACATGATTTCCCCATGCAATTCCTCTTAATCTATGATAGAACAATTCTGCACCATTTCTATAACAGAGTATTGTGTTTGCAGACATGGTTCCAGATGGTTTCTGTATTGACTGCTTCCTATTGTAAGTGATTACTTCCATAAAAATGGAGAATTGCACTACTTTTTCCTTTGATATGTGTGAATTGGATATGATTCTTTAAAGGTTTGGGTCAGAATTTTTGCAAAATGAAGTTTATTAAACTATTTAGCAAACTATTAACATTCTAAACAGTTAAGCTATATTTAAATAAAGATTAAAATGTATTTTAGTAGCTTTGTGGGTTTTTCAGAACACATGAAATCTGTTTTTATACATCTGTATGTTTTGTAGAGTTTGCATGCTCATATCTGTATTTCTAATATTGTTTTATTATATTTATCGGCATTCATTTTCAGTGTTTCAGCTGGAACTTGATACAAGACATGATAAATATGAAAGACTTGTGAAACTTAGTCGTGACATAACTATTGAAAGTAAAAGGACCATATTCTTACTTCATAGAATTACCAGGCAGGTATCTATGTTTGTCTTTCACATTTCCTAATATATACCTTTCAAAGGAATCCTGTATAGGTAACATAAAACAAAGAGTTAGGAATGGAGGGAAGAATTTTTTTCTATATATTTTTGGACATACAAGAGGCCAACTTTCTATTCCCTAACTTTATTTTTGGACGAGAGTTTTATCCCTTCCCTAACAGTGGTCAGTATTATACTAAACATACTAATGGATTTTCCCCCCTACAAATTAAAATTTATGCAAACCTTAGAATTCCCACATCATTTCATTCTTGATATGAATGGTGCTCTTAGGATATGTTAGGGTTGATATGTTTTTAGAAAAAAAGGGGATACGTTAATTCTCTTTCCATTATTATAAATTACATGAGCTTTGATATAGATTACAACTATTTTCAAGAGAATGCTATTTTTATTTTCAAAATCGTATATATAATATTTAGAAGCAGTTTTTATTCACTGAATTACTGTGGCAGTAATAGAAAATAGTACCTCAAATTTATACTGTAAAGGGTAACTTACTCTGTGTTGATCCCAAGCGTGTTTGCCAAGTGATCTAGCACTTCATTAGCAAAACATGGTTTATATATAGACAGATGTCTGGGGCTTATAATATTGTTTGAAAAGGATAAATAAAAATGATCTGTGTATAGCATATAACATTAGCTTCTTTGCTGATGTTTTAACAATAGTCACTTTTTAAATTTGATTGTATTCTGTGATCACAGTGCTTCCAATGTAGAAGAAATACTAGCAGAATCTGAAGTCAAATTAGATCTTGTGAGACAGAAGATAAAACAAGTAGCACAAGAATTGATGGGAGAGGATATGCATCAATACCATAGAGCTATTTCTCCAGGTATGTGTGAAAAATAAAAAAAGCAAACAAAACTTGCAAAAAGGATAATTCTAGATATTTTATCAGTCTTGATTTTATTACACTGGGCAACATATTGATGACACCTTTTGATTCTGTCAATATTTGTTTTGATTCCATTAAGATATTTGGATATAGGAATTTATAACATTGAATTAGGGAAAGACTTTGCATTGTACAGAAATCAGTTGCAATTGTTCTGGGCTATCTAGAGGGTTAAATGTTAATTTCTGTCGTACTTATTTCTACTATAAGAATTCTACTATAAAATTCTACTTATGTTATATAATCAAAGATGCAACCCCCCAAAAAATATTTACTTAATTATTTAAAAGAAGTATATGACTGCCCATCTTGAAAATCATAACTCTGGGCAACTCACAACAACAATAAAAACTACAACAATAATTAATAAAACAAACCAAAGGTAATAAATCAGTCATCTGATCTACAATCTTTAGTCCAACAAACAATGAAATCCTTGGGCTCTATCTTAGTGCCTGGAGAGAAAACTAACTCTTTATGGCTTTTTGGAAGCTAAATGTGTGGGAGCCTGGGTTCTAATTCAAAAAAAGTTGGTCAAATTTTAATGAAGTATTAGGACTGCAACTTTTATACTTGGTGGAAAATGGTATGGTCAGGTATTGTCAATATATAGCTTCTCATACTACCCCTTACTAATTTAATGATTCTCTTAAATGTTAGCACTTTATAATGAAATTCTACAACATTCAATTAGCTCAAATGTTTTGTAGGTCTGGATGAACAGTTGTATTAGAACAATCAGGGCTTTTTTTCTCATAGAACGCCCAGAACGGAGTTCCGACACCTTTTTTGGATGGAACCTTGTAGGGTTGGCAAGGCAGGTTGTATGACGTGTGTGAGTTCCGGCACCTTTTTTTTTTTTTTTTTTTTAGGAAAAAAAGCACTGAGAACAATGAATAGACTCAGAATTATGGAAATAATACCTCTGTATCAGTCTCAATAATTCAACACTGAGCAAGATAATGGCAAAAAGGTTTAGAAAAATAAATTGGGAAAACATACTAATTATCCAAACTACCAGAACTAAATGAGTCTGATACTTACTTCCTTTGGAAAGCAATAGAGTGCTTACAACAAATCCAAGGATTTTTAAGCAGGAGTTAAAAAGTCGCATTCTTAGACACTTTTTCAGGCCACAAACCGTCAGTAGAATCATAGAAACTGACAATGATTCAAGAACTGTGGAAGAATTTACTATTTGGTGTTTCATATGTAGCCTGAGCTCCAACATAAGAGGTTTTATCTAAATTGTAATCACAACTATATTAAATAAGTCAGTATTGATGAATGAACCTCCAGATGTTTAGGGACATAATTGATTTCTACTTTAAAGTTTGTAGGTAGAGTGCAGATTGCTGCACTGTTGCATAAATCTCTTTGTGTACACTTATTATTGTGCATCATACAAGATAAGAGGCTCTTACTGAAGATTTGAAGTCTAATAAAACAAGGCTCATGAAAGAAAGGGCACCTGGAGAAACGAGAAATAACATGTCAGATGCCAACTAGAAGTAGCGAAGGAAGACCATAAACAAAAAGAAATAAGTAGATCAATTTTTATGTCTTAATTTTTTTTTTAAAAAAATAAACAGATCGTTAGGGAAAGATTGTTATATGCCAGTGAGATATAAAAGTAAAAACCACAATTCAAAAAATATAGTAGGACTTGGAAGATGAAGCTTCAAAATATTTTAGGATGAAAGAAATAGCTGCTGGCTTTTTCCTTTGTTTCTGCATGTGTTTCTAATTTCAGGTCATCAGTGATCTATATTGTGCTTGGGAATGGAAATGCCCACATTTGGTCTTTCAGTGCTGGTGTTGTGTTTAGTTCCTCAGGGTCTGAATTGTTAGGTTCATTACCTTGATCCTCTTTTGAGAAAGACCGTGTGTCGTGGTGGTGCTCTGATTGCTTTCAGACATTTTAATTGCTTAGAAAAGACAAAGAGAATATTGAGAATCATATTAGTAGACAAGGATAAAGATCTCATTGTGATCTGATAGTAACATCCAAAGATTAGTCTTCCACAATGTTTGGGGAGAAAAAGGCCAGAGTCTGCCCTTAAGTTAAATAACAAGTATTAAAGAGATACTGTACAGACCTCTTTTGGTTTAAGCATTTATTTGTTTTAATATTGCAATAAGATTGTGGTTTAATACTTAGTTGCTGTGAATTGGGCTTGACTGCTGGTTCCTGTATGGACTGTTGTTCACCGTTTTCTCATCTTTATGGTCATTGTTTTCTCATCTTTAGCCAGTATTTTTAAATACTTAGTTTTATTTCTTCCATCTCCAATAGGTCATTTGCAAAAATCTTCTACTGCAAATGATCACTAGATAACAGCAAAGAATAATAATTTTTGTGTGTTACCCAATGGTTGACTGGATGTTTGTAACCTATGTATGGCAGCCCAGTCCTGTTGCTTTTACATTTTTACATTTTCTAGAATGTTTTTCACTGGAGGCAGCAATGTAATATTTCAAATAGGTTTTTGACATTGTTCTTTCAAATGGTTCAAGGAGCAGAGTAGTCAAACTATACATGTTATTGTTGAAATTATTTTGAGGGCCATCTGAAGCAATAAAAAGATTCTATTTTATACTGTTCACAAGCAAGAGATTTGCTTTTTGGAAAATATGCACTTAAAGGTTTGACTTCAGAGGTTTTAGCACTAAGTTTTAATGAATAGCATTTGAACTTTTAATGGTCAGCAATTACAATAAGATCATATTGTACTTCAGAAATTTTGTATAGTATGGTATCCGTTTTATGGTATAGCATTCAAACTTTACATAATCAAAAAGAAATTGTAGGATTTTGGTGACATGCTGAGAAAAAGTAACTGAAGATCTTACTCTGTTCATCCTAACTAAATTGGTTGTATTGTTTTATTTTATTTAGATTTTATCAAAAATGGTGTAGCAATAAAGACTAAAGAATGGAATAATTTTTTTAATGTAGTTACAGTAGTAACTGTAACAAAAAAATCTAACAAGGCTACACAAAGGTTGAGTGTAATAATCATATCTATAAATAGACGTGCCATAGATACGATTCCTGGGAATATTGTTTGGCGTTGGTTGTTACAAAATGCTTTTTTTGGTGTTACTCCAAGCCACTGTTCTTTGACTTAAAGATAAAATAATTCTGGCAAAGCACTAAAGAAGTTCCACTTTTTCCCTCATTAAGAGTAGTGCTAATGGCATTCAGAACATTTCCCCTAAGGATACTCATATGAGCTCAAATGCTGAGTATGGTACTAATAATTGAACAATAACAAAAATGATGACTGTTCTCTACACATTTCTTAAAGTACAGATTGTCCCAAGGGATAATTAAACAAGCAAACAAAGATACACTGAAATAACTAGTTAAAAAACAAAGGCAGACCAACTTTTGCACATTGTTATTGTTATCTTTTTGTGGTTACTTTTGAAGTAGGTTTGCAATAAAAAAATCTGTCTTTCCTACTCTGTAAAGGATACATATCCTTTGGAATATATGAACAATTCGCCTTTAAAACTGAAATAGTAGTAGGCAAATGCAAGACTTATTTTGCACAGTACTTGCTTTTGTTATTCTAATAGTGTTACACTGGTTGAAAAGTTAATTTTATGTAATAAAGGGAATTCCCATATAATTCAATTTAGTGCCTTACATTAAAATAAGATTCTTCCTTAATATAAATGTACTCATATCTTGAAACATATGTGAATAAAGTATGACAGTGGTGGCGAACCTATGGCATGGGTGCCAGAGGCGGCACTCAGAGCCCTCTCTGTGGGCATGCGCGCCGTCGCCCCAGTCCTAGGCCTTCAGCTGGGTTTTATAAAACCTTTTCGCTTTAGGCCTCCGCCGCCATGTGCAAAAAAAAAAAAAAAGGTTCAATCAGTCAATTTCAACTTCTTGTGGGAAAAAAAAAGAACTTGCAAAGTTGGAATTGATTGATTGAACTTTTTAGTCCCCCCCCCAGTCTGCCGTTACCACGGCAGCCATGCCCACCCAATGGGCCACGCCCACCCAATGGGCCACACCCACCTGGTACTTGACGATGCATAAGTGGGTTTTGGGTTGCAGTTTGGGCACTCAGTCTCTAAAATGTTCGCCATCACTGAAGTATGATGATAACTACTTATCACCTTACTACTTTGCATATTCTGTGCTTGTTTAGTTGGAGGTAAATACTGCCAATTTCAATAAAACTTCTATTTTGCAGTAAGTACGCATATGATTTTACCTATATAGCCTTATATGTCTTCCATAATCCATAAAGCACTATTATTATGCACTACAAAGTATAAGAACAACATAATGTAAAATTTGATAAAGGAAGAATAGCAGAGGGAAATTCCCAATATAATTGAGCAGGAAATTGGTTTGTGTTTGAATTAGAAAAGATGGAATGGAATAAAAATGGAATTTTATCAAGGTTTCATGAAAAGCTGTCACACAGGTGCTTTGGTAAATGACTCACAGGAGCAGAAAAGGAGAAAGAGCAGAAGACCTTTGAAAAGTCTGTTGTGGAGCTGAATAAGTACAGATCTAGGCAAGGATATATTATGATAGAAAAGAAAAAAATGGGTGACTTCTGAAAGTAAACATTGTTATATCATGAAGAGGTTTATGGAAGGGTACTATTTGACAGGAGAATGAGAAATAGCCCAGATTGGGTTAAGATCAGAGAATACAGAAGAAATTCATTCTTTGAATTATGTGCAATTATAATCTTTTGAGGATTTTGTGGTGGCTGTGACAAACATGGCAGGTGAGTCTGGGTCTTTTTTAAACAAAACAAAACATGATACAAGTTGCTCACATTAAGAAATGCTCTCTCTCCTAATCCAGAGCAGAGCGACTATTAAGGGATGGGGGAAAAAATCCAGAAGTCTGCTTTCCGTGCCCTGTTCTTTTCAATCCAGCATGATATTGGAAATTGTGTAATCTGGATCAAGGCTGCCTCTGAGTCCATCCTTAGGAGAACTCCCTGAAAACTAAACAGAACAGAATCAAATCTATTGGGGCAGGGGGGAAGTTGGCAAAAGAAAATTGAATATAAAAAGGAGCTGAATCTCACTACGGGTTAAAGAGCAAAACATTCCAGAAAATAATGGTGGAGCCCTACAAGAGACACAATTAGGCAACAGATTGGAATGTTGCCAGCAGCTCCATTCTAAGCTCTCCTTCCCCTAGTCATGTGAGCAGAAGACCCTACTGCAGGGGTCTTGTGCACACATATCAAACACAAAGTTGTAAGACAGTGGTTCTCAACCTGTGGGTCGGGACCCCATTTGGGGTCGATCGACCATTTCATGGGGGTCGCCAAGCAAGGCTGTCCGCCATTTTTTTTGTCCACCATTTTTCCCCCTTTTTTTGGCGGGTGCTTTACCTCCCTTGGGCTGGGCCAGCTGGTGGTCGGCCTGCTTCGTCTCTGCCGCTTGCCAGCTACGCCTCGGCCGGCGCAGGGGGCAGAACCACGCATGCGCGGCGCTCCCGGACAGGGAAAGTCCTCGACTTACGACCAGTTGGGTAGTCCTCGACTTACGACCTGTTTAGTCCTCGACTTACGACCGGTTGGGGTCGCGGCATTAAAAAGGTTGAGAACCACTGATGTAAGAGGAACGAAATATAAATGCTTCCTACCACGACTTCTCTAGCGGCATTGGAAAGAATTCTAGAATCATATTCTGCATGCTTTCCCTATTTGTTTATATGTTAATCTTACATTTTAAAAGAGAGATGAGAGAGAAAAGGGAGAAAAAGTTGGGCAGTATAAAAGGAACATATATTGATTCGATGTATCTTAAAGGATCGCCATTCTAAATCCTCATCGTACAAAAGCTGCCTTGCAAACTACTCACTTCCCAGCAGTGAGATTTCCAAGTAATTTTTTTTCTTGGAAACAACCCAAAACTAAAAGCAGGAAGATGTTGTTGGATGATATAGTGAAGTGGGATAGAGATTTTTTTTTTCCACCTTGGGAATTATTTGTGAAAATAACGGATGTCCTTCCATTAAAACTACAATATATTTAAACATCCTTTTACCTGCTTAGCAAAACCACCTTTTGTCAAGCTCTTGGGTCATTTTAAATGTTAATTCCAAGCTGCTTTTTGTGGAGAGCTTCTGAAAGGCACGTATTTAATGTCAAAACATTTATTGTAAGAAAGAGGATGCTGTTAAAACAAATCTCAGTGTAATCTAGGACTAATGTGTGTAGAATATGGACCATCTATTTTTCTTCAACTTGTAATTTCATGCAACATCGCTATTCATGAGCTGCCCTGGTTTCCAATAAATGTACATAGTGCAAGGTGTCTATGTATCTTTAACGTTATGCGAGGCCTAGGACTCGCTCTCAAGAATATTGGCTTTTCTCACACCTTCCCAGAAGGAACGCACATTCCCTCATTTAAACACTGGTGTCTTATGGGGCCTGGAGGCCTTTTCAGTGGCTGCTCCTGTGCTCTGAAACAGTCCCCCCTCCTCCCACACGATGTATAACTGACCCCAACCTTGCTGGCCCTTAAAAAGTGTTTTCCTCAGACATTGGGGTCTAATTGAGTAGAGTCCCCTTTCATCCTTCTCCTCCTCTTTTATTACTTCAGGTATCAAGGGAGATACAAAGTTTTGGTTCTTGCACTTCTTGTGGCCTCAGCCATTGCTATTTGATGCCACTATATGCTGTGGATTGTTTTAAATTATTCTCTTCAATTTGTCATTTTATATACTGGGCTATTGTTTTAATGATGTATGTTTAGTTTTTTTGGGTTAATATTTATTTTTATTGTATACTGGCAGAGTCACATTATTTGATTTTGGTGGATATATAAATGCTTGAAACAAACAAGAAACACATCCTGCTTTTCTATTTTTAATTCAGTGCGGTCATGACTTACATATTATCTAACGAATCCCTCACAATTTAAATTGTGTCTTATGTACAGATTATAGAAAAATGGTGGGGCAACTATCAATGAGCAGCTATCTATAGAATATCAAGATTCAGATAATTAAAATGTATATTTATAAAAACAAACAGAATAACCTGAATTTTGTTATATATTTTTTAAGTTTCTAAGAATTGAAGACCAGCATTTAATTTTTTTCAAGAACTGAAAATACATGCAGTGATTTATGTTGACCATTTTTTCCATACGTTAATTCTCCCCTTAATCTCATGTTCTCTATGGTTGACAATCTTTCAGTCATGCTGATTTTATTCCCAAGATATTTTACTATATTAGCTTGGGCAGAGAGAAACATACATTTGGATAGTATGCTTTTCCAAGAATCACTGCAGTAAAGGCTAATTTTATAAAATACTAATTATATATTTTTTAAAATACTTGGGAGTGCAGTTAATAAGTAGCTGGCTTGATCGCTCAACAGCGAGACACTGGTGAAGCAGGCACAGCAGTGCCTGCATTTTCTGCGTTGCATGAGAAAAGTACATCTTCCTTCCCCTGTCCTTACCACTTTCTACAGAGGGACGACCAAGAGCATCCTGTCATACAGCATTACAGTCTGGTTTGGAAGCATCACTGCTTCAGGCAGGAAGGCGGTGCAGAGAGTGATGAGGATGGCTGAAAAGATTATTGGCAGTTTCCTCCCTTTCATCCAGGACATAGCATATAAGTCCGTGGTGGCGAACCTATGGCACGCGTGCCACAGGTGGCACGCAGAGCCCTCTCTGTGGGCACGCGAGCCGTCACCCCAGTCCTAGGCCTTCAGCTGGGTTTTATAAAACCTTTTTGCTTTAGCCCTCTGCCACCGTGTGCAAAAAAAAAAAGTCCAATCAATCAATTTCAACTTCTCGTAGGAAAAAAAAAGTTCACACAAAGTTGGAATTGATTGAACTTTTTAGTCCCACCCAGTCTGCCGTTACCACCACAGCCACGCCCACCCAATGGGCCACGCCCACCCAATGGGCCACGCCCACCCGGCACCCGACGATACATAAGTGGGTTTTGGGTTGCAGTTTGGGCACTCGGTCTCTAAAAGGTTTGCCATCACTGATATAAGTGTTGCTTGAGCAGGGTCCGCAAGATTGTCTGGGACACTAACACATCCTCTTCATGATCTGTTTTCCTTGTTACCGTCTGGGAGGAGGTTCCAAAGCATCCTCTTTCCGTTATGTATTCAAGATGGACAGTGATTAATATTTATGTTATTTATATGTAAGAGTGTAGGTTTATACATATGTTGTATATAGCATGTTTAAATGTGTATTATGTATGTGTACACTTTGACAGCAAGCAACTAAATTTCAATGTGCCCACAATAAAAATGATAATAAAGGTTATCTAATCTAAATCTAATCTAATCTAATCATTGCAACTAAAATTGTCATATACATACTCTAAAAGAGTCTCCAATACATAACTTAAAAAAGTCTGCGTCAATCAAAAAGTGAATAAAAACTGACATCCCTACAATATCATTTAAACTCTTTTATTGTGAATCCCTACAGTATAATAATATATTTTACATTTTTCCATGTCAACCAGGTCTTCAAGAGTACGTGGAAGCGGTTTCATTTCAGTATTTTATCAAAACCCGGTCATTAATTAGCTTAGAAGATATCAATAGACAACTGATATTTAAAGAAGTTAATAAGGAGGAAGAAAGGAAGGTACTATAATCTTGTCTATACAATTTTCACAATTCGTTAATCATTTCTAAATGGATATTATAAAGAATTGGTATAGAAGATGGACAATAAGCTAATATTTGATCATGAAAAATCTCCATGTGTTCCTACTTCCTGCAAGTTTTTCTTCTTCTGTCTCCCTTTTTCACAGGCGGTTTGAAAAGCCTTACTTTTTTCTTTTGGGGTCAGGGAAAAACTGAAGTTTGCATTTCTGTTATCAAAATCTTTTTGTTTTTGTCACTATTATTTCTAGCATAATCTTGGGCTGTTTTCCATTAAAATTACTACTGAGGCATAAAAGAATAGCAGCATTGGGAATATGTTAGGAGCGTACAGCTGATATTGTGGTCCTGTGACAGCTAGAATGAAGAAAAGAAAGGTTTCTTTAGGGTAAATGTCTATAGTAGTGGAAGTCTGAATTTCCTTTTTTCAATTTCTTTTTTTTTTCCTCTGAAGGTTGGAATTATTTTTCCACTTACAAAATTGGCTTTAAAAAAAGCTTATAAGGCAGGGGTGTCAAACTCAATTTCATTGAGGGCCGCATCAGTATTGCGGTTGCCCTTGGGGGGCCGGGTGGGTGTGGCCAGGGTGGGTGCAGCTTACTGGGTGGGTGTGGATGGAGTGGGTGTGGCCTACTGGGTGGGCGTGGCGAGCTCTACATCATTCGTGTCAAGGGTGCCTGTGGGGGCCTGGGCAGAAGTGGAACAGATTTGAGGGTCTCTGGCAGAAAGGGGTGGGACCAGGGCAAGCCGAATATGTGAAGAAGGCAAGGGCCATTTGCTGGCCACTTCCAGGCGATGGTGCATTTCTTCATTCCTCACAAAGGGTGACACCTCCCAGCATGCACCCAGGAGGTGGGGCCGACACGGCAGGGGCTGGTTTCTCGCTGTTTCCACACGGCCTTGTGGAGCTATGACTGAATGCATTTCAGCATAGATGGCCACCACAAAATTGTACATTGGCTCCTGGCAGGCCTGGGCCAGGGCCAAGGCAACGGGGGCTATTCCCTCACTGGGATGGCTTCGCAGGCCACATGAAACCACTTCGTGGGCCCCATCCGGCCCCCGGGCCTTGTGTTTGACATGTCTGTTATAAGGCTATACTAGGGATACTATATCTGGACTTCAAAATTATAGGCAGTTCTAATTCTTGTCTGCCATCCCATTGTACTCTGGCTTCCCTCATCATCCCTTATATCAGGGGTGTCAAACTGGCGGCCCGTGGGCCGGACACGTCACGCGCAGGCCATGCCCATCCCAGCTCCACAAAGGCAAAAAGTCACAATACATCACATGACGCTATCGAGTTTGACACCTGTGCCTTATATGGAGTCTCTAGATTGCCATAGCTCCAGGCATTCTACTAAGCAGCAGCCATGGAATATTAGGCTAGCCAGCAGCTGCTTGTCCTTTTCTCTGCCCAAAATGAGTACCATCCTTCCATCGCTTGTAGAGCTTGGCAGAAGGAGTGCTTAGCTTTTCATTTCTGTTCTTAAAGGGTTTTTTGCCCTTCAAATTTGAGATTTCTAGTTAATCTGATCTTGTTGCTTAAAAACTGCATATATCTAATCCAGGGTTTCTCAGTCTTGCCATATAAGCTGTGTTCAACTTCCAGAATTTCCCAGCCAGCCAGCAAATTTCCATTCTTCTTTAGTCTCTTCCTCTATTGGCTCATGTAAACTGCCTCTGTGAAATTGACAAATTGTTGGACTTGCATGTACCTAAGTGTCTGCTAAACCAATCAGTTTCTTGAAATATCACAACCTCTCTCTCAGTTGATCCTTGGATAAAGAGTGCATCCTGAGGATAAATTTTATGTGTATTTGTTGATTATGGAATTATTTTTTTAGTTCAGTTCATTAAGTTGTGAAAACAAACAGCAATATATAGAAGTTTATTACACAGTGATGATGATAAATATATAGTAGTGGCAAAATATTTATTGTTTTCAAAATAGAAATAATGCAAAAATAGAAATAGAAAATATACCTACAGATACATATGCATTTTCTCTTGCTAGCTGAAATGAAGAATCTTCCATCAAGAAAGTCATCCATAGGAATAGGAATAGGAATAGGAATAGGAATAGGAATAGAATAGAATAGAATAGAATAGAATAGAATAGAATAGAATAGAATAGAATAGAATAGAATAGAATAGAATCTGGAAGGGACCTTGGACCTTCTAGTCCAGCCCCCTGCTCAAGCAGGAGAACCTATATAGCAATTAACTGCCTAGCCTCTTCCTAAAAATCTCCAGTGATGGAACGTCCACAATTTCTGGAGGCAAGCAGTTCTACTGGTTGATAGTCCTCACTGTCAGGAAGTTTTTCCTTAGTTCTAGGTTGCTTCTCTCTTTGATCAGTTTCCAACCATTGTTACTTGTTCTGCCCTCTGGTGCTTTGGAGAATAATGTGACCCCCCTCTTCTTTGTGGCAGCCCCTCAAATACTGGAATACTGCTATCATGTTGCCTCTGTTTCTTCTTTTTTTTTTAGACTAGCCAAATCCAAGTCCTGTAGCTGTTCTTCATATGTTTTAGTCTCCAGGCCTTTGATCATTTTAGTTGCTCTTCTCTGAACTTTTTTCAAGGTCTCAACATCTTTTTTGTAGTATGGTGACCAGAATTGGTTGCAGTATTCCAGGTGTGGTCTTACAAGGGTTTTATAAAGCGGTACTAATTTACAAATTGAAATTTCTCTCTGTAACAACCTGTTTTGTATTATGTTGTATTACTAGCCATCTTCGGATTCTCCTAATAATCAAAACGACACCTGGAACATAAAAGTGACACCTGTGGATTATCTTCTGGGAGTGGCTGATCTAACTGGAGAATTGATGCGGATGTGTATTAATAGTGTTGGGAATGGTGATATAGATACACCATTTGAGCTGAGCCAGTTCCTGTGTCAGATTTATGATGGCTTTTCTTACATTGGTAACACTGGACCGTATGAAGTTTCTAAGAAGCTCTATACTTTGAAGCAGAGCTTAGCTAAAGTGGAGAATGCCTGTTATACACTGAAAGTCAGGGGTTCTGAGATACCAAAGCATATGTTAGCTGATTTGTTTTCCAGTAAAACAGAAATAATTGACCAAGAGGATGGGCTTTCCTAACCATACTAGGAACCTCACAACACACAAGATCAAGAACTACAGGATCGGAGCAAAGCCAATCAGAAATCTTAGCCATAATTCGTGTTTTATGAATAGCTGACATAGAATATGTTGTATTCCAAAACTGTTATTGTGTAATGATTTAACATGCCCACCAAGCTTATTGCCCAGTGAAAATATTGATTTTATACAAGGACCACTTGTTATGTTCTCTACTTTAGTATTGTGGGCATACTGCAGGTTACCTTAAACCAGGTATCAGTGAAGGACCATAGTTCATAATATACATGCAATATGATAACTGTTTGCTTTGTTTTGTTGTTGCTTTTATCTAAATGGTTAAAGTATTTGACTGTTCAGAATGTTCTGGTGTTAAAATTTACATGTTGATTTTTAAATAACCGAAGAGAAAGTTAATTGAATAGAAAAGAACCTAGGAAAAGCTAACAAGTTTAGCTTACATTATTATTTGGGTACTTTCAGAGTATATCTTTCTGTGTATCTTAATGATGACTTGTTATAGAAGGTTAATACTAACACCTTGTAAATTAAGCCAGACAAAAGCAAAAATCTTGTAAAGAGTCTTAGCATAAATAAAATCAGTACATATACCCAGTTAAAAATATATTCTACGGAAGGATTTGGAAGCGAATGCTTGAGAAAGTAAATAAGAAAAATATTTGAAATATGTTTTAAAACTGAAGTTGACAGAATTTGTAATTATGTATCTATCCTATGTGTGTTCTTTAAAGGATTATGATATTGTTTTGTGTTTTTACTTAATATCTTGCTTCAATTCTTGATTAGCGACTCCAACGTAGACTTTAACTTCCTTTCTGTGAACAGAATAGAATTAAATTTATAGAACAGGCTTTCCTGCTTCCCTTTTCTCTGTGTAGTGCTGAATCTCTTGTAAATCTGTTCCTGAGAACAGGGAACTCTTGAGCATGGTGTGGAATAAATTATAAAAGGCCTGGTTAGTAGTAATTCCATGTACGAACGAAAGAATTCAGGATTCAAGTCATTGTGTTCTTGGGGAAATGTAAAATGTAAAAGTAGGTGAGAATCCAGGCTCTCCACTATACACAAAACACACTGAATTTCCTACCACAGCTCTTCCATGTTTTTATATTGTTGATATTTAGCATGGTCTATTTTCAGATACATGATATAGTACAGCAGTATTTTGCCCCCTTTTTAAGAATCGTCAGATCTCTCATGTGATAAAAAATTAGAAAGCAGCGTTTTCCTCCCATTATAAGGCTTAATGATGTTTCAATATTTTTATACAATAAACAAAGGAATCTTGTAAAAGTATTAATTGTTTGGCATTTGTTTTTCTGACAAGACATTTTTTTTTCTTTTCATACTTTAATGAAAGGAAACCCTTTCTTCCCTGACGCTTTCCAGTTTGCCACCTAGTAAATTTGCCATGTAATTAATCTTTTTTTGCAAAAATAAAGTAAAATTTCTAATTGTAATGTTGCTCAAAATGCTCATAACTTTGGGTTGGCTTGCCATTCAAGATAAAAGAGGTATTGGCAGTTCGTTGCTTGTTCTGTTTCCAATACATTATTTGTGGAGAGATCAAAAGAAAAACTTTTGTTTGATTTTTGATGGGTCAGAGGGGCCCATGGTTCCTCCTTTAGCACTTACAAGATTCCCTGCTGATTTTTTTTACCCCATCCCCAAGGGGATGGTGGCAGTGGCATGTTGCAAACAAAATGCCAAAATTTAGTATCTTTACAGAAATGCCTCCGTATGGCCTCTCAGAGATCCCATAAGCAATATTAGAAATGAAAATGGTGAGTAGCTGCAGTCAGGTACTTTGTTTTGAAATCTGCCATCTACCAGAAAAAAGACAACAGTATGCTGTGGAGAAAAATGCTATTTGGGTGTCTAGAGGGGGTAATGATCAGTTGTTTTCTAGATCTTTTTTTCTAGAAAATGTGTTTTGAATCTTGATACATCTACTGTATTCAAACTTCCAAATTGCTCAGCAACTTAAAAAGTTGTCCTAGTCTTGTATTAGGTTATCTGAAATACATTTACCTAGGCAGTAGTTAGTTGTCAATGCATAATTAACCATTGCTTTTCTGAATATGATGTTCTTTAGATGTGTTGGATTAAAAACTGATCAAACATAGCCAACATGGCTAAAAACATGCTGGATTGATAGATACTGCAGTGTGTGGGAGGCACCAGACTGAGATTGGTAGTCTAACATTTATGTAGAAATTGTGAAATTCAAATTGTTCTCTGAAGTGATGAGCAAACATTCCTTATGGAATTATGTGGTCTTTGGAAAAAGAAAGACAATATATAAGATTACCTGTCTATGGAGATTCAGTCATCCAGGTCATGGTTGTCCCAAAGGTGCTTTTTCAAAAGGCAACTGGACTTTATTTTTCCTTGAAGATTTTTTGCTTCTCATCCAAGAAGCTTCTTCAATTCTGACTGCATAGTCAGTCTTGGTACTCTCCATTCTCGGTACTCTCCGTTCAATTTATTCAGAAGTTTCCAATAATACAAGTTGATCACCATTAATAAATGCTATGGAAAAGCACCAAGCTTTCCAAAAATACACCTGTCATACATATGCCTGCATCTGAGGTCAAAATAATGGTGAAAGAAAGAAAAAAAATTATTTTTAATTTTTGGAAGTTCTTAATAAACATATAAAAGCTAATAAATGAGAAGAAAATAGAACAATAAAAATGCATAAAGTGCAGAAAAAAATACCAGAAAAAGACAATAGAAGTGATAATAAAAAAGTGGCTTTGAACCTTCATACCAAGCATAACAATACAGTACCTTTTCACCCTCCTTAAAAGTTACAAATAACCCTCCCATAGCATTTTATCAATGCATAATCCCAAAATCAATTTTTCAGTCCTAATTCAGTAAGCAGTTCCTTAGCACTTAGACTTACATATCACTTCACAGTACTTTACAGCCCTCTCTAAGCAAGTTTACACAGAGTAGTAGGTGACCTCCCAGTCTCTTCTTTGGAGAGATACAAAGGACTGGTCTATTTGTCAGTCTTTTGTTCTTTTGTTCTTCGTAAAGGTTGTCGCTGTTCATTTGCATACTCATGAGTCAGCCCTGGGAGGTGAAAGAGTGTTTTGGGAAATACATTTCCAAAATGTTTTCTAAGGGAAGTCATGAAATCCTGAGCCCTGCTCAGTCCAACCCTTGATAATATCAGAAAACTGACACCAGTTCCAAAATCAGATCCAGAAGTTCAGGCAATAAGATGGCTGGTGCACAAATAAGCTCTTAATCTTATTCCCGTGATCCAACTTAACACAAAAGTTCTCACATCCCTCACCTCAAAGCAGAATCCCTAGTCACAGGGAACATCAGCGCCCCTTCTCTTTCCCAGCCTTGGAACGTTGGCTGTTTTAGGATCCGACATCTTGGAAAGTAAATTTCTGACAGGGTAATACCTTTACTCTCACCCAACTAGGTTTTAGGAAGAGTAGATCTGCTCACTTACCCACTACCTATTCATAGATGAACATGGATTCTGCTTTCATCAGCGTTTGGTCAAGCTCAACAGCAATCTTGCAATCAGGATCCTTGGAAAAGCACCTCCAGGAAAGAGTAAAAACACGTGCTTTTATTTAATTTATGTATTTATTTTATATTTTTATTTCATGTTTCAAATTTAGAGACTGCCCATCTCACAGATTTTGTAGATTGCATTTCACACTTAGGTGGCCAGTCAATGTGGAATTTGCATGTTTAAATTGGTTAGCAGCATTTAATGGTCCTAATGGAGTCCATAATACTTTAAAAAAAGATGATTTGCAAAGGAAAAATGGCACAAGAGCTTTCCGGCTATATTAAACAAAAACAATTAAAGAGAAGTAAGATCCAGTCCTGATCACCAACGTCTCATTTATTTGGCCCTCCCTAAAAAATACATGTTATAGAAAGTTAAATGCTTTTCAAGTTTACATGATTGCTGTATTTGATAAAATGATACTGAAGTCACAAAACAATAAGTGGCAAAATCCCTACTTCTTAGCCTGCTTAAGCCTGGGCTTGATCATAAGCTTGGTATTCGGCCAAAATCCAAGCATTGTTTAAACAGATGTTCCTTTGCACTATACAATTCTATATTATTGGGAGCTGTTTCCTTTTAAGGCAATCAGTGGCTTTGAGCTATGAGAACACTTTTATTTTAGAAAGTAGTGAGTTGAATGAAGTACATAATAATATACCCTTTTGCCCATGTCTATTCTGTCTACTTCTTCCTTTGGAACCAGGGCAAGTATAATCAGCTAAAACCCAAGCAACATGTCTTTTTGCATAGCAACTACTGAAATTTAGGGGTTCATTCTGAAAGTTATATAGGTTACCTGGAATGTCTATAAACAGAAGATGAAGAACAAAATCTGAGAAATGACCAGTGTTCACAAATTGTTCCTGGAAAATGTTTCCAGATCCCACTCTGATACTTTTGACTCTTTCTACATTTTACCACTGAAACCTGTGAGCTAGCTCCAAACATGGATAAATCATAATTTGCTTTCTGTAGGCTATGCCCTACAACATTTTGTAAAAAAAAAAAAAAAAGGCCCATTCTTGCTTTTAAAATTCTGCAGCTCTTTTTGCTGACAGAAATCACAGTATCATACTTTAAAGGTACTGTAAGAGTTCCTAATGCAGTCCAATAGTGACATCATGTGGACAATATTGTCTATCACTTTAAACTATTCTGTTTCAGCCTGCCTGGGATTTTTATTTTATGATTTCGCATAATTCCAATAAATATGCCAACTCCAATAATAAACAATCAATTGTTGTTCAACAATGCCAAACAAATTACAGGTAGTTGCTTAATGATTGCCTTGTTTACCAACAGTTTGCAATTACAATGGTGATGAAAAAGTAACTTTGCGACCAAATCTCGCATTTATGACCTTTATAGATCTGTGAAGCAAAGGAAAACATAAGTAAGATCAAAAGCACAGCTTTTCCATTTAGTGACCACTTCGCTTAATGAATGAATTGCCGATCCCAATTATAGTTGCTAAATGGGGACAGTGTCATTACCTTATTTATGGTAAATAATGGAGTTTTCCATTTAATGCTGAAGACAAAGTGCCAAGGCCAATTCCTTCAAGATACCACTTCACTCTCATTTATGCAATGCAAGCATAATTTCCTGCCTATAGAGCTACAAAATTTATGCATTTATTCATCACATTTCTATACCATAGAAAATATCCGTAAGCTATTAAAAAGCTACACATTCCAGTCATTTAAATATACCCAAATATATTGCATATTTCATCCAAGAAATTTAAGCTTTCTGATACATCAGCATTTTGATGCATGCATCAAAAATATATTAGTATTTTGATGCAGTATATACAGGGAGGAAAAAGGGACTATTTCTGGAAGCATGAGAAGTTCAAAGAGATTTACAATCCTGCACAGGCTTGGTTGCTTCAGCTGGTACAACCTATTTTGGGTCACACTACTAATGTACCATCTATACCCTTAGAGTTTTCAGCAAGACTTATTTGGGGGTGTGTGTGATAAAGTATTTTTGACCATATCTAAGCCCTTTATGATCTAGGACTGATGCACTGAAGCATCATATACAATATGGCTAATAGTTTCTCAGCATGCTAAATGCTACATAACAGGGGAGGGGGGGGGAGGAAATCTGCAATTAGAGAGTGCAGTCTATGACATTGTACTAAGCCACAATGGAATCTGAAACCTGTGTGACCCCAGACAATGATAATATGCTTAACAAATCATGGCTTTGTATGATGTGTGAACTTAGCTCGCATGATAGCTGGAAATTCAAACCCCTCTTTTTCATTTCTTCTACATTTTGCTCTCCTCCTGCAGACAATCTCTTCGTTAGCAATTAATAATTGCAAATGAACACTATTAATATATAATGCCAGTGAGATCATTACAGTATTGTACCACTACGTCATTAGAAAACAATGTCCTGGTAAGGAACCAGTTGTTAGCCACAATAGAATAAAATACACCCAGACTCTGCTGTGGCTTGCAGAACTGAGGGACTGCTGGTCTCTAGCTAGCAAGTGCAGTGGGCATCTAAGAGTCTGTTCCTCAGCAGGTTGTTGATCAACTTGAGCATCTGATCAGTGGAGAACAGACTGACGGTTTCCGGCTGCTAATGGCAATGGGAAGTCAGCAAGCTTGAGCCGTATTGCTGAGGAGGATGAGAAAGAGCCTTGCCCGTCTCAGCAATTCTACTCTAACAGGAAACAGGAAACCAGCCATCTGGAAGTAGAATCACCAGAGGAGCAATTGACTATAT